GAATCCGACCCCCTGTGCGCGTGCGTGCGTGTGTGTGTGTGTGTGTGGAGAAATATTTTTGAAGGGGCCGAGGCGGCCCCTAGGACGCGGATGCCAATCTGACGGAAGTTAATACAACCAAGAGGGGGGGGGGAGAGGTCTTGGTGGGCCTAGTTCGGAACGGTCGCCTCGTCGCTCTGTCTCTCTCGCGCCACTACGGGACGCCCCGCGAGTGCGAGAGAGACAGAGCGACGAGGCGATCCTTGGGAATCCGTCGGCAGAGGGAGTCTGGCCCGACTCGAGGCGCACGCCGTGCAACTGCAGACTGAGAGTCGTCGTCGGAGTCGTCGCTCCGTCTCTCTCGCGCCTGAACGGCACGCCCCGCGAGTGCGAGAGAGACAGAGCGACGACTCTCGGAATGAGTCCGCTGGCTGCCTGCAACTCGAGCCTCAATTAGCGACTTCCAATATTGTTCCGCGCCAAGACGCTGTTCCGCGCGCGGCTTGATTCCGAAGCAGAGTTTCGAGGCGCTCGCGGCGTCTCTCTCTCTCTCTCTCTCTCTCTCTCTCTCTCTCTCTCTCTCTCTCTCCCTCTCTCTCTCGCACCTCCACGGCCTCACGGGGACCGCCGCGAGACCGAGAGAGACGGACGAGTGACGAAAAGCTCCGTTCGGCATCAGCCTCGCGCGCCTCGCGCCTAGCCGCGCCGGTATGTGGCTGCCTCCTCGAATCGCGGCACCGCGGCGCCAAGTTCCTAAAATTACCTCAAATGCGCGAGCGAGAGAGGGAGAGGGAGAGAGAGAGAGAGAGAGAGAGAGAGAGAGAGAGAGAGAGAGAGAGAGAGAGAGAGAGAGAGAGAGAGAGAGAGAGAGAGAGTTCGCACTGCATCCGCGAGCAACGGCGCCGGCTGCACCGAGGCCACAAAGGGCCGATTTATGACCCCGAGCGAAAAGGGGGAAGGGGAGGGGGGGTGTCATTGCAGACCGGGCGGTCCTAGAGGAGATCTAGGGGATGGCACTTCAACATTTTGATTTAGATGAAATGTGGCAGACGAAATTCAGCAGGATCCAAACGATCGTCAAAAGGAAACTCAATGCCAAAAAAACGCCCCCAAGCTAATTGGCACTGCGAGGATTTCGAGGTGGCCCCATCTAGAAAGAGGCTCGAGATGAAATGTCCAACGACCCCTAGGACGACACCGACACACTAGATGTGACGGAATTCAGAAACGGCCCGGGATGAAATGTGGAACGATCCCGCGGCATGACGCTCGATGGATTTCGGGACGACCATCAAGCGCCCCAGAACGGCCCCGCGGGGACTCCGATCCCCTGAGGGGGTCTCGGGACGCGGCGACGCCGTGAGTCCTTCACGTCGCTCTGTCTCTCTCGCACCTGTGAGTAGCGCCCCATGAGTGTGAGAGAACGACAGCGACTCTCGGATCAACTGCGGACAATTGTTCGTAAACTAGTAAAATAGTTAAAATAGTTCGTAAATTACGAAGTATTTTCGTTGTAAGCGTATGTATGTTCGAAATATTTCCTTCTAACAAACTGCTTTGCTTTGTAAGGTCTGAAATAGTTGGAAAGGTTTCCTCAGTGGAGCTAAAGTCTTGACAACTTAAAATGCAGCCAAATCCTTCCGGCAATATTTCACAGCAGCGCTTCGCAGGTGAGTATACTGTACTCAGAGTGTACGTGACCACCCTTCCCTCATGACGCGACTACACTCTAAATATGGGGTGCCCAGAAACTGGGCGCCTTTGTCACCCGCCCCACTTTCTAGGGTGCCAAATGTCGCCCAGTTTCTGGGCACCTTTGTCGCCCAGTCTCGGGGTGGACAAAAACCATTAAGAAACCTGCCTTCACCCATGGCTCAGCAGCGACTGAGATGCCGAAGGTGCCCAGAATCTGGGCACCTTAGTCGCCTAGGAACTAGACACCCGAGCATGCTCTACCACGGGAGAGAGGGGCTAATAGATAGACAGACAGACAGACAGACAGACCGACAGACAGGCAGACAGACAGACAGACAGGCAGACAGACAGGCAGACAGACAGACAGACAGACAGACAGGCGCGCAGACAAGCACACGCGCGGGGTCAATGAAAGGGTGAAGCCAGTTAGGAGTAATTCAGACCTGGGCAATAATTAGGCATTCTTTAGTGCGGCGTCGCGGCGCCTGACGATCACCCCGCCCCGCCCCGCCAAGCCACGCCGCAGCCACGCCGCCGGCGTCTGGCGCCTAGCGACAGGCCGGCCTGCAGAGCAGTGCAGAGCAGTGCAGGCAGACGCCGCCTGTCTCTCTCGCACTCAGGGGCCGGCCAGCATGGGGTGCGAGAGAGACGGGGAGAGAAGGGCGCCGTGCGGACTCAGATAGCGCCGCGACGGATCGGCCGCGCCACCGCGGCGCATGGCGGCACGGCAGCGTCCACCTGCAGCCTTCCCACAGCCGTCCGGCCCGACCGGCCGCCCGCTTCGGCTGCAGTTCAAACAACAACAAACTCCCGCCAGATTTCGCTAGAGAGAGAGAGAGAGAGCGGTACAGCAGACTGATTCCGCGAGTCGATTTGGTCGCTCTGTCTCTCTCGCACCCATACGGCGCGCCCCATGAGTGCGAGAGAGACAGAGCGACGAGCACGACTCCCGGAATCAGCCTGCCGTGCAGAGGGGTGCGTTCGGGCAGCACTGCTGCAGCGAGTCCGACCGTCCTGACCGCAGTGGCGGCCTTGACGGGCAGGGCGGCAGCAAGGGGATGACGGTGACGACACGGAGGGGAGGGGAGCCGCAGCTCCGCGACCGCGGCGGCGCGGCCAGCAGATCGCATCCGGAAGGGTCGCTCCGTCTCGCTCGCACTCTTCGCGACGCTCGGTGAGTGCGAGAGAGACGCACCCTCCGGCGCCGCCAATCGCCGCCGGAGTCCGGCGCGGGGTCGCATCGCAGTGACTACGGCCCCACGTGTGCCGACCGGATCTCGCTTACGCGGCCACGCCGCGGATAGAGAGAGAGACAGAGCGAGAGAAAAATTGAGGCGTACAGTGGGCCAGCAGGGCTAGCGGCCAACCCTCTCTGCCGGTGAGGACTGCGAGGGAGGGGGTCCAATTTCGCGCAATATACAGAGAGGGTCCGGCCGAGTCCGGCTGGAGTCAGGGGTGAAGCCGCGGGGAGGGTGCCTCTCTCTCGCACTCATGGGGCGCCCCGTGAGGGTGCGAGAGAGACAGAGCGACGGGAGCACTGTCGCCCTGCAGTACGGCAGGCAGGGCGCGGAACACAACAACGCGAGCAACAACGCCGCTCTGGTGCGTCACTTTTGCTTCGGCCGCCGCCACACTCGTAGAAGCGAAGCGTGGCCGGGCCATTTTCCACCACGGAATCCTAGAGCCGTTTCGTCGCTCCGTCTCGCTCGCGCTCGCACGGGGCGCACCGTGGGTGCGAGGGAGACGGAGCGACGACACCGATGTCCGGAATCACTCTGCAGGCCGTTCCCATGCGAGGCGTTTCCCCCGGGCGGGGCGGCCGATTTGACCGGCCGTTCCAAGTTCCAAGGGACCGGACTGGGGCCTAGGCGGTGCCGGCCTAGGCGGCGTAGCGCGCGAGCCGGCCGCCATGCCCATGTCATGTCCTTGAAGAGGAACCGGCTGGAGAGGCGTGGCGCGGCGCGGCGGCGGCGGGGCCTTTGGACCACACGGCCCGCCCAGCCCTGCCCTGCCCTGCCGTGGCGTGCCCTGCCGTGGCGTGCCCTGCCCACGCGAGCAATGACTCGCCTCCAAATGGCGGGGGGCCGATTCGGGAGACCCTCTCTCCCTCTCTGTCGCTCGCCGCGCCGCGCGGGTGAGAGAGACGCCTTTCGGAAGCGGGTCCCGGCCGGCGTGATGCCGCGGCACCCGTCCGACCCGGCATCACGCCGGCCGGCCCAGCCCCACGGAGGATGGATGGGCGTTTGGCGCTTCGCGCTGTGCTTCGCGCTGTGCTTCGCGCTGTGCTTCGCGCGCGGGCCATCGGACCGGACACGGGCGGTTTGACGTGCCAAACGTCCAGGCCGCCAGAAGGCGAGCCCTCCAGGCAGCTTCACCAGCTGGCACCGCCACGCACAGCCACGCAGAGCCGGCGACCACGATGGCAGGTGGCGGAGGGTCTCGCTCACCGTAGGTTCAGGGGGAGAAGACTGATTCCGAGAGTCGCCGACGCTGTCTCGCACACCGTGTTGGTGTGAGAGAGACAGGGCGACGAAAAACGACTCTCGGAACCAGTCTGGCCAGATTGGCAGGGGCCTTCGTGCACTGCACCCCTCCGGCCTTTGGGTGTTCTGGTGCTGTTTGGCACGTCGAACGTCACAGACTTTGGCACGTCAAGCGTCACAGACTTTGTCACGGACTTTGGCATGTCCAGCGTCACAGACTTCAGCATGTGACACTTTGTCACAGGATTTGGCATGTCCAGCGTCACAGACTTCGGCGTGTGACACTTTGTCACGGACTTTGACACGTCTAGCATCACAGACTTAGGCACGTCGAACGTCACAGACGACGCGCAGATTAGATCGAGCCGAGTCACCGTGGCGCTGGCCTGCTGGCCATTGGTTCAATTCGCCTTACGTCAACTTTGACACCGACACCGAGGTGTGAGGCCTGCAAGTACCGTTTCGCACCTGCATACGTGACTTTTGGAGGTGAAGGTACAGTGCCGTCTCGTCTAGCCGCCTCGGCGTGACGAAACCGGCGGCCGTCGCGCCGCGTGCCGCCGGGCCGGGCCTTATCATTGCCGTTTCAATTTTGGCGCCCATGGCCGCGACAGCAGACGGATTCCGAGAGTCGTTCTCGTCGCGCTGCCTCTCTCGCACCTGTGCGGCGGGGCGCCCCGTGAGTGCGAGAGAGACAGAGCGACGACTCTCGGAATCGGTCGGCGTGTAGTGCGAATCGCGTCGCCGATTCGGCATTCATTCATGCCGTTTGGCGATTCCGAGACGCCGCCATGCCATTCACGTCCCGCGGGTCGCGGACGTCGCGGTCCACGTGACACTCACCTGTTTCCTCTTGAGCCGCTCCCTGGCGCGCTCCTTGTAGACGGCCAGCCTCTTCCGCAGCTCCTCCTGGCTGTCTTGGTCCTCGGCCAGCAGCAGGTAGGCCCGCCAGTTGGCCGAGTCGAAGCCCCAGTGCACCGTGGAGGTCTCCGGGTGGCGGTGCGCGTGCGAGACGAACTGCTGCGGCCCGAAAAGCAGGCGGCACTCGAGGCACTCGATGGAGCGCTGCAGCGGCTCGTCGGGCCGGCACAGCCCCTGCGCGCGTCCGAAGCACTCGTGGTACACGTGGAAGCCGTCCGCCAGGGTCTTGGAGGCGCAGGGCACGCCGCGCGGCAGTAGCGCGGCGCACAGCCGCTCGGCGTCCGTCTGCGTGATGAGGCCGCACGACGCGGCCGTCATCGGCAGGTCGCCCGTCGCCTGCAGCTCCTCCAGCTGCTCGGGGTTGGAGCGGCTGCAGTAGATGTGCAGCTCATCGCAGACGGAGTTGATCTGGCCCAGGGAGAAGTCCCGCAGCACCAGGTTGAGCACCTGGGGCAGGCACAGGCGCTTCTCGCCGCCCACCACGAAGCAGGCGATGGCCTGGCCCTCCAGGTCCGTGTCCAGGCGCTCGGCGCGGCCGCCGTCGCCGCGGTCCGCCGCCGACAGCAGCGGCAGGCTGTGGATGAAGGGGCGGGGCGACGGCGGCGCCGGCACCTCCAGGCTGCTGCCGCTGCTGCCACTGCCCGCGGGGGACCGCGGCGCCGCCGGCGACGGCGAGCGCGACCGGGCCGCCGCCGGGGACGGCGACGGCGACGGCGGCGGCGACGACGACGATGTTGGGGCCGGCGCGCGGACTTCCGCAGGCGTCACCTTGGTGTCCGCCGCGGGCGCGGGCTGCGCCGGCGGGGACACCAGCACCGTGGGGCTTGGCAGCGAGCTTGGCAGCGAGCCCAGCGAGGCCAGCGTGCTGGGGCCGTGCAGGCTGCGCTGGGCGCTCAGCTGGTACGACTTGAGGACTTTCTTGAGGTGCGGGTTGCAGCCCTGGCGCTTACCGCCGAGGGTCTCCATGACGATAGGGTGCTCGTGGGCCCTCGTCGCTCGTTGTGCCCGGCACGGCAGCGCTCAGCATCTGAGCGCTTGAAGGAGGTAAAGCAGGCCCTGAGCTTTGCGGATCAGTTCAAGTCACACAGACACTTGGTTGGATCCTGTCACATTACACACACACACGCACACACACGGAGTCTTCGGGGCGTAAATGGTGGCGCCCAGACACTCGCGACACTACACTGCACCGCTCTCGTTGCTGCTGTTGCCGGTGCAGCGTTCGACCGCAGCCATAGTCGTGTATGACTTCGGCTTCGGCAAGGACAAGGCTCGCAGACCGGCTGAGCGGACCTCACGGCCGACGTCTGGCTCGCAGCAACTCCGGGAGGGGACTGAGGGGCGCGCGGGGGGGACGCGCCCGCGCCGCGCCGGCCGCGCTGCCGCGCCGAAGCCAAGCCGAGCCGAGCGCGCGGGCCGAGCGGCCCAGCCGGGACAGCCGCGTCGAGCCGAGCCGAGCCGAGCGCGCCGCGACCCGCAAACCGGCGAACAGCGAACGCCACGGGAGGCCGACGGGACGGCAGGCCGACGGCGACGCCGCGCTCGCCGACGCTCTTCGGGGGGCTCGGGGGCGTGGCGGGGAGTGGCGGGGCACGACGCCGATTCGAGGCGAGGCGAGGGAAGCCGGGGCGCCGAAGCTCGCTGGCGTCGGGTCGGGCCGGGCGTCGGGCCGGGCGTCGGGCCGGGCGTCGGGCCGTGTCGCAACGTTCAAAAACAGCTGCCTGTCTCTCTCTGCCGTCGGCTCGCCGGGCCGCCTAGGGCCGCCGCGCCAGCAGCAGCAGACGGCTCCGGAATGCAGACGCGGCGACGCGCCGTCTCTGTCGCACCGGCCGGTGGGCGTCGCGCAGCGTCGCGTTGGACGAGGACGCCGTCAGAGAGATGCGGCATTTCGAGTGCAGCCCGCCGGGTCTGCGCCGCGCCGCGCCACGCGCTGCGAGGTCTGGTCTGCGTCGCTTCGCTTCGCCGACGCGGCCGGCGCGCTCGCACGCTGACTGCCGCGCGCTCTAGCGTGCGCGGAGAGAAGCTCGTCGCCGCGTTGTGCGCTACGGTGGCGCGCTCTGTGCGACCACTGTGCCGGCCTGGCGGGCTGGCGCTGGATTCAAATCAGACCGCGCAGCTGCAGGTTGCAGATTGATTCCGAGAGTCGCTCTGTCTCTCTCGCCTCGCACCTATGCCGGACGCCCCAAGAGTGCGAGAGAGACAGAGTGGGCGCACTCATTGGGCGTCGCCGTATGAGTGCGAGAGAGACAGATCGGTGGAAACATCGGAGTGAGGCTGCTACACGAGACAGAGGGTTCGAACCGCCGTGCGCGACCTCAGCGCCCCGTGGCGTGGCACTCAGTCCGCGGTAGGGCCCGCGCGGCCTGCCCGGGCCGAGACGCCGAGGCCGTGGAGGACCGCGGCCCCGCGGCCTCGTGGAGTCGTTGGGGAGGGTCGCGCACCGCAATGTCTAGACGCGGCGCGGGGCGCGCAGCGCAAAGAGCAGCAGCGAGGACCCGCCAGCAGTCTATGATTCCGAGAGTGTTTTCGTCGCCGTGTCTCTCTCGCACTCATGGGGCGTCCCGTGTGGATGATAAAGAGACAGAGCGACAAAGAAGACCACTTGGGGTTACTTGGGGTGCTAGAGCAGACGTCCGTGAATTTTGAGGGGTCGCGGCGAGGTATGGCTGGGGTCGCCTGGGGTCGTGTTTTTGGCCGACTTTAAGCAGCTACTGCGTCCGATCCGAGGCGGGCCTTCGTACTTTCTCAACGGGCATTTGGTCTTTGGACCTTCCTTTAGCATGCGTTTGTTACGGCGTGCGATTATTCGCCTTAGTTTGGGTGCAGTATTGTTTCAAAGTTGATCAAAACCGACTTTAAAGGCATTTTTGACCGTTCTGATCAACTTTGCGGCAGTACTGCTCCCAAACTAAGGCAGATAATCGCTTTCCGTTTTAAAGGCATGCAAAAGGAAGGTCCAAATACAAATTGCCCGTTGAGGGAGGACGAAATACCGCCTCGGATCAGACGCAGTGGCTGCTTAAAGTCGGCCCAAAACACGATTTTTCAGGCATTTTTGATCGTTTTTATCAACTTTGAGCCAATACTGCTCCCAAACTAAGGCGCATAATCGCACTCCGTAACAAAGGCATTCTAAAGGAGGGGTCGCCTGGGGTTGCGAAATTTTTCCTCAGGGGTCGCGGAAATATTTGGCTACAAATTTGGGGTCGCGAGACGAAAAAGGTTGAGAACCGCTGTGCTAGAAGACCGCGGTGGAAGCAGTTTTCGGAAACAGACCTGCTGCTGGCTGGCGGGGAGGTGCTCTACTATACCCGCCCACACGCACACCGACACGCTGCGCCCGTGCGTGTGTCCCGGCAGGGGTGCGCAACGCACCGGCACCGCTTTGCCCCGATTCAGATTCGATTTTGAATCCCAATCCCAATCCGAAGGGCTCTCTGCTCGGGCGGCTCTGGTGGCGCCAAACCCTTTTCCGCAAGGCGGCCTGCACCGCTCCGGTTTCATTTGGTACCCGTCCTACCCCGTCCTATTCGCCCGTTCTATCGGTCTATCCCCTCCCCTCACCCCTTCACCGCGGGGTGTTTGGTTGACACACTAAGGAACACGCTGGGAAAATGGAGCCCCCCGCCCCTTCCCCCGGCCTTTCCGTGCAAGCTCCATCGCCTCCAATCTTCTTTCCGCCCCAGCGCGCTGCAGCGCCGCCGAGCAAAAACAAAAGTAAAATAAAAGCAACAACGCCGTGGCGTGGCGGCGTGCCCCCGCCCCGGTCGGAGTACTTTGGCATTGTGCGTTATTCTTGTTATGTTTCCTAACTCCCTTTACTTCTTTCCCTCCGCCAGTGTGCAAGATGTACCGACGCTGTGCATATTTAACCGCCCGCTGCCGCTGACTTCGTCCTCCTCGTCACACCGCCCCGCCGCCGCCCCGCACAGTGGGCCAAAAGACCGGTGGAGGCGGCCACAACTCTAGACGCGTTTTGAGCTCCAGAGTCGCTAAACGGGACTCGAACCGAACATGTGACCCCACCAATGGATTGCTCTCCGAACGAGCAATCCATTGGTGGGGTCACACGTTCGGTTCGAGTCCCATTTAGCGACTCTGGAGCTCAAAACGCGTCTAGAGTTTTGGCCGCCCCCACCGGTCTTCTGGCCCACTGTGCCCCGCCCCGCCCCTGCAGACTGGTTCCGAAGGTCGTTTTCGTCGCTCTGTCTCTCTCGCGCTCACACGGGGCGACCCATGGGTGCGAGGGAGACAGAGCGACGACTCTCGGAATCAGTCTGCAGCCGCCCCCGCGTCGCGATTGTCAAGACGTCGCGCTCCCCGTTGTGTTGCCAAATTCCCTCCCCGTTCCTCTTTCAATTACCTCACGATATGGGACTCTGGTGCGGCCCGGCCGATTCCGAGAGTCGCTTTCGTCGCTCTGTCCCTCTCGCACATGGGGCGTCCCGTATGGGTGCGAGAGAGGCAGAGCGACGAAAACGACTCTCGGAATCAGTCTGCGGGTTTGAAAGGGAAGCCCGGGACGGTCCCCGCGGAGCCACGCTCCCCCCGGGCCTCTCGGCTTGGGGCCCAGCCCGGCCTGGCGGCCTGGCCGCCGTGATTCCGAAGGCTCGTTTCGTCGCTCTGTCTCTCTCGCACCCCTACGGGACGCCCCATGAGTGCGAGAGAGACAGAGCGACGGAATGATCCTTCGCAATCTGGCGGCTAGGCCGCTCCGCCCTCCGCCCAGCCCGAGTCGCGGAGGTGGAGGCCTTTGTCTCGGACTTCTTTCTCCCCCGCTCTCTCTCTCTCTCTCTCTCTCTCTCTCTCTCTCTCTCTCTCTCTCTCTCTCTCTCTCTCTCTCTCTCTCTCTCTCTCTCTCTCTCTCGCTCTCTCGCTCTCCCGCTCTCCCGCTCTCTTGTCTCCCGGCGTGGCTAAGGAGGGGAACTGATTCGCGTTGGAGGCGAAGCAAGGCGAAGGGAAGGGTGACGTCGACGCGGAGGTACGGCTCGCTAGTCGCCCCGCGTGCAGACTCATTCCGAGAGTCGTTTTCGTCGCTCTGTCTCTCTCGCACTTATACGGAACGCCCCATGAGTGCGAGAGACACAGAGTGACGAAAACTACTCTCAGTTTGCCGGGCCTGGCAGGCTGAGAGGTTGGCAACCCTTTCGACACGGGCGCTGCACTGTATTTTCGCCTACCTAGGTGGCAGCACAGGTCCCCGACCCCATTCCGACCCATACGCACTCAAACACATGCAGCCGGTGAGAAAAGCGAGAGACGCGATACGATCGCAGTGCGTGCGCTTTGCCGCTTTGTGAGTCGGACTGCTTTGCAGCCACCACACTGTCGGTCCTCAAACAGGACGCCCGGCAGACCGATTCCGAGAGTCGCCTTCGTCGCTCTGTCTCTCTCGCAGCTAGAAGGGGACGCCCCGTGAGTGCGAGGGAGACAGAGCGACGAAGGCGACTCTCGGAATCGGTCCGCAGGACAGTCAGGACACACGGCAAATAGACGTTCGCCGAGCGGCGCCATCTCCATACCGACCGCGCTCAAAGAGGCCGGCCCCACCGGGGCGGGGCGGGGCGGGGCGGGGCGGGGCGGGGCGGGACGGAGCGGGGGGCGATCCGCGGAAGCTCCAAAGGGGCTGCCACGCTGCTACCCCATCGAGGGCCGCCGGCCGGCGAGCCGAGGAGCTCGAGACGCACTGTAAATAACGCGCTGTAAATAATGTAAGTTCCCCGCGGCTCCTCGCGGCTTGCCCCGCATCATGCCCGGGCACGCGCTACGGCGACTTGGCGGGGAATCCCGGCGCCGCTGAATCGAAATGCAGGCAGGTGCCGAAGGGGAGATCAATATGGGGACAATGCAGGCGGCGAGGCGGCAAGGCGGCGAGGCGCGGTACAGAGTACAGGGCAAGCAGCCCTTGCCAGGCCTTGCCTGCGCCGCACTCTCATCCGCCTCCTCCAGCCCTCCGTCCTTCTTTCTTTCTTTCTTTCTTTCTTTCTTTCTTTCTTTCTTTCTTTCTTTCTTTCTTTCTTTCTTTCTTTCTTTCTTTCTTTCTTTCTTTCTTTCTTTCTTTCTTTCTTTCTTTCTTTCTTTCTTTCTTTCTTTCTTTCTTTCTTTCTTTCTTTCTTTCTTTCTTTCTTTCTTTCTTTTTTCTTCCATCTCCCTTTTTCTTCTTCCTTCTCCTTTCTTCTTTCTTCCTTCTTCTTTCTTATTTCTTCCTTCTTCCATCTTCCTTCTACTTCCTTTATCTTTCTTCGTTCTTCTTTCATCTGTTTTCTGTCTTCCTTCCTCTTTCTGCCTTATCTTCCTCCTCCCTGTTCTTCATCCTTACTTCGTCCTTCGCCTA